ATCTTTCGTTTGTTTTTGACAAATATTTAGATGTTACACAAGTTTCTATAAATACATTTTTCAAAAATGTAGTTTTTAGATAAATTTGGATTTTAACTAAAAATGTGCGTACATAATTATTAATCAGTAATGTGCTTTCAGTTTGTTCGTTTTTTGTTAAAAAATAAAATAAAAAATGAAAATAATAATTAAAAAACTTACTGTTGACTGAAATTGGAAGTTAATTGACTGTTGTAAGCTGGTTCCCTGTGTGCAGACAGGACTAGGAGATGCTAGACACCGGAGTACAACACTTATCACTATTCCTGAAATAATATAGAGATGTGTGGAAATGCGCAAGTCACTGTTGTAGAGAACCAAAAATTGAAAATAATCCGTTTTCTAACTGAAAAACATGAATTTCTCATTCTTTACTAGACAAAGTTTCAAGAACACAATGAAAAAACTAATTACACTAAACTATAAAGAACACAATAAAAAACACTGAACACACTAAACTATAAAGAACGAAATGAAAAACACCGACAACACTAAACTATAAAGAACACAATTAAAAACATTAAGCACACTATAACCTATAAAGAACACAATTAAAAACACTGAACTCACTAAACTATACAGAGCACAATAAAAACCCTGAACACACTAAACTATAAAGAACACAATAAAAACACTGAACACACTATAAACAATAAAGAACACAATTTAAAACATTGAACACGTAAATCTATAAAGAACACAATTAAAAACATTAATCACACTAAAAATTATAAAGAACCCAATTAAATACACTGAACACACTAAACTATAAAGAACACAATGAAAAACGCTCTAAACTATAATTCAACGCAATTAAAAACACTAAACACACAAAAATATAAAGAATGCAATAAAAAAACACTGAACACAGTATAAACTATAAAAAAAGGGAAAAACCAATGAAGTCACTAAACTTTTTATTTTAGTAAACATTCCCTTTAATGCTGAATGATTTACCTGTTAATGAGAAGAGGATGACGGATACAAAGATGAGAATGATTTACCTGTTAATGAGAAGAGGATGACGGATACAAAGATGAGAACAATTAGAAGAGAGAAACTATCATCATCGCCATCTTTATCATTCTGCAAGGGGAACCCAACCTGACAAGAAATTTTACATATCAAGATTTCATTTTCTTGTTTATTATGCACAGTGAGACCCAAAATACTGTGGAATAGGAAAACCTTATTAGACTAAAATTTTATTTTGAATAGTTCAATCTCAAAAGTTCAAAAGTTGCATAATCCAAACCAGTACAAGGATTGTCTTGTATCAGCCCGTCTAGTATACCCAGGATGGGGTTGACCCACCGCGTTTCAACAGAGCTAGGCAGGTGGAACTATAGTTAAATAAACATACAAACAAACAAATTGTATAATTGGTAAATATCACATCATTGCATACATTTCGTTCTACTAGTCCACGCTTTTAAGGGTCTTCCTGTTTAACAGTGTGTTTTCTCATGCATCCATTTTAATAAATTTAACATAATCAAAAAAATGTTATAAATTTTGTTAAAAATTATAAATTAAGTTATAAATTATATAAATTTTGTTTTGTTTTCTCACCCCGTCATAGGCTAATGTCTGAGATCTAATCATCTCTGCTTTACTTCGACCCTTGAGGTTAGAGGCGTATATCCTAGATAAAAAGATATTATTATTCTTGACCTTGATCTTGATCTTGATCTTGATCTTGATCTTGATCTTGATCTTGATCTTGATCTTGATCTTGATCTTGATCTTGATATTGATCTTGATCTTGATCTTGTTCATGATCTTGTTCTTGACCAATGACCATAAAAATGACCATGACCATGACCATGACCATGACCACGACCATGACTATGACCATGACCATGACCCTGAAGTACCTGATGTAAACAGCCTGGCTTGGAGGAAGTCCTTCTACCCAGAAGCTTGGAAGGTCCTGGGTTATATTGGCAAGAAGTTGACTATTGGAAAAATCCATAACCTAAAGAAAAAAAGTATTCCCTGAAAAGAACTCCAATTGCACATACGATTCACATGGTACCCTGTACACATTCATTCAATCATTATCGTTTTTTATCTAAAAATGGTTTAATTTGGGTAAAATCATTTCTGCTGTTTTAGCAAAAGTTACTTTGTCAGATTTAGATAGAAAAATAAGAACATCTGCTTCATTTTTGCTTAGAGACATGAAGGGGATAATTATAAGGTACAGCATCATTTAAATCAAATCAGTGTCCGAATTCAATGAATTTGAGCCGTGTCCTAAATATGCCAAAAACACAATCTTAAGTGGAACCAACCGTGGATTAAACATAAGCCGCGGCTCAAATTTTTTAAATTCGGCCTCAGATCAATTAAAGGTACATGGAAGGGGGGGAGAGAAATAATTTAGAGATATAGTATGTGGGCAAAGAATAT